TGTATACAAGTTGATTGTAATAGTGACATAGATAGGCCAGGAGTCAATGGCTCAGTTCATTTCATGTTTTCCTATTTGTTTGCATGGAAAACAACCAGAAGAAAAGGTTGTTTTCATTTTCATTTTTTGTTTTCCAATTATAAATAGCAATTATAAGTTGAGTCTTGAATAACTTTCACTTTGTTTGTTCATAATTTTGTTATCATTATTTATTAATATCACAGCATCATTTGTATTCTGATTAAATCGTTAGTTTTCTAATCGCTAATTTTGTATTCTCTGGCTATCTTTGGATTCCAGCTCTTAGTCTGATTAGCATTTATTTTTAATGAAAATTTCTCAATGCGTTTCTTTGGTTTCGACTCAATTTACCATTCGATTTCTCCAATTTATAATTTATTGTAAATTCACTAAAACTTTCAAAGTTCAAAAGTTTTAATTGTTTTAGCTTTGGATGAATCAATACTGCTGTAGCCATCTTTCGGGTTTGAAAAGAAGTATATCAACTTTAACTTTGAAAAACTTACAAAGTATGAGAATGAGTCCACAATTATATTAGTAGTCAAAATGCCATGAATAACATTTTCTTAAAATAGTGGCCATTAAATTATGCGAGCAAATATAAATCATTGCAAATATCGTCTGCTACATACCGAATGATTTTATATGAAGTTAATTATTAACTTTCGTGAAGTGATCAATTTGTTCATTGGTCATCTCAAATATCATCTCATCTTATGCCATCTCTATGCTATCAATGAAAACAAAAGTTCTTCATCTTGATCATAGTATGGAGAGAATTTACTTCGAATTACAAAGGTTGGCCAAACTTTTGAAATAATCATTTCAATGATCAAATTTTTCAATAAATAAGATCAATTTGAGCTATTATTGGGGAAAATATTTAATTTAATATTCTATTCGAGCGATTTATGTTATTAAATGAATCAGCTCAGATTTTCTTAGGTAATTAGTCATGCTATTGATATGTTATGGGCCAATATTAAATCAAATGATTGGTTGTAGAATGATGATTTTAGGTGATTTCACTCTCGTTATATTGAGGCGCAAAGTTTTTAAGCTTATGGCCAAAATCACGAAAACTGTTGATCAAACGCAAAAAGTGTTCGATTAAACTTGTTAACAATGAATCTTATCGGTAAAAAATGAGTTTCATCTCATTCTCTATGATCCTCGGGAAAAGCGAATAACTTATCCGTAAACCGAAGTGATCTGCAACAGAAAAACTTCATTTCTCAAAATAAATTCATTTTCTGGTTGGACATTCAAAGTTACATCAGAAAAATGATTTATGAAACAATCTGGTCACACGACTGTACAAAAAGGCGATCGAAGTTCAACTTTGGCAGCGATTTTCTTGAAAACTGTCGATCTGAGAAATTTCTTCATAGCACTAATGCGCTCAGTTTTTAATATGTCCCTATAAACCAACAAAGTCCCTACTCATAACTCAAAAGTCAAAGTTTTGCAGTGTGTCCTTTATCAGATTCGACATAATACTCATGCTAGAAACACATGCTTCCCAATAATTCTGAACTTTTTGAAGATGATGGCTTGGATTTCAATGATTTGATCTCAACTTCTCATGCAAAAACGACAATAAATTAATTCTTGTTCAACAATCAACAGGAAAAATATAAACTTTCTGTACAAATGAGAAGAGATGGGTTTATAAATGCGAATGAAAAATATGGCTATAACAGCGCTGAAGCTGATTCTATCATAATAACAAGATTTTGTCTAAACATTTTGAGAATTCGACTGAACATTGTAGGAACTTGTCCAAAGTCATCGAGAAACGCTGCAAGTTAGATGCCTTCCATTCAACATTTTCGCCAATGAGCTATCCTTTGTATAGAAGAAACGCCTAAAAATTACATGCACATTCATCTTGATTATGAAGCGTTTTGCTTAAAATTGTCGAAATCTAATATCTTTCATATTTTCTTTTCTTTGAAGCTAGAAATTAAAGATATCGAAGTGGATCTAACATCTTGGATTCTTGAAATTTGAAGAGTAAAAAATGTAGAAATGTTTTTTCCATTTTGATGTAAATGATAATTTATTTGTCTTTTCAAATTATCATTAGCAAAATTAACAATTTGTATTTTCCGGTTTAAGAAAAAAAATATTGGTTGTTGGTTAACGAAACCATTGTTGATCCAATTTATCTAATGTCGTTCAAAGTTACTTTTAGATAATTCAATGTCGCCATTAATAGAGCTGACCATTGTGATTGTACTTGACTTATTATTGTTGATAACTCCACTAACAGTTGATGGCTTCTCAATTTTAGAGTTGAAATCAAATGAATTTGAGGGATCTTTTGAAGACATGGATCTTGCTCTTAATCCAGTTGCAATTGGTATTTCAAATAATACTGAGATTATGAATGAGTGGACATAAGTCATCATGATGTTGCCCATAACAACATAAAGAGCAACTATGGGTCCACTAAATAATTGAGAAGATTGAGTTCCAAGGAAGATAAATTGAATAATTGGATGGATTGTATATGCAATTAAAGTTAATCGTCCAGTTGTAATGAGGAAACGTCCCCCAAGTAACCGGACTAAACAAGAGTCAGGTGAATCCTCGGCAAGTGATACAAGTGAATAAGTAATGTAACTGAATGCCAAGGCAACTAAAATTCGATGTGTTCCATCATAAAGTCCAGAAACAAGTGGAGCAGGTAATTCGCCAAAAACCCAAGTGTGATAAAGAAAGATGAGACAAAAAATGGTGATGAGACTGGCACACCAGAGGAGGAACGATGTAACCCCAATACCATAGGGTGATGAAGATGAAGATGATGAATTGGATGAAGTTTTCTTACTTCGACTGCTACACAAATGACCAGCACCGATGCCGATAGCGAAAACCGATAAATGGGTCCATGGTTTAAAATAATGTACATTATAATAGTGATCACGCTGTTGTGGATCTGGTAATGTCCAGATTAAATGAGGTGGTAATTCAAATTTGTAAACAGTTAATAGATTGCAAAGGAATCCTATGGCTGATACTATGGCCAGTAAAATGATTAAACTTGATCGAGATGTTTTACGAGTTAATAGTAAAAGTGGAATGAAAACAGCATACAATTGCATCTCAACAGCAAATATCCAAGTATTTTTGAGACACATTTCAGCTGG